GTGTATTTTTATCTATTATTATTGTAAGAGAAATTAAAATGTAAAAATTAAAAACTTGTTAGGTTAGATATAGTAAGATAATGAAAACAAACAATAAAAAGTTAGGTAGCAGTTCATGTATGATATAATTTGATATGGTAAAGTGAGCTGCACGTTTGCCTAGTGATTTACAACTTGTGTGGCAAGATTATTAGTTAGACACAGTTCAGGGGTCAATAAACATTAACATTAAGCATAAAGCTTTAAGCTTTTTAGGAAAAAAAATGTGGTTTTCCATTACAACTTGCAGCCATTCTAGAAAGAAAAAAGGGTAATTTAGATTCATTTACTAATTTTATATGATGGTTACGAGGTCGGTCAAATTGATCAACCCCTTATAGAGTTCTGGTAGAGAAAATAAAACAGTTTTTCTGATAATAATAATAATAATACAAAAAGAAATACATTTGATATTTATTTAGGAGGTATTCGAGACTAAGCAAATGGAAGTCGAAAGTTTTCAGATGAAGAAAAGTATTTTGAATACTAACATGAAAATCACTTTGCACTTGGAGCAGTCAACAGTCTGGATGTACAAATTTACAGACAAATTTTTAGTAAAAATACTTAGCCAAAAATTATGATTTTTTAAATCTTTGATAGGTTGTTTAGGCAGAGTATTCATAATGAATCTAAGTTTCAAATGGACAGCGACCTGAAGACGAAAGTCGGAAGACTTTCGAAACGTCGTCCTCTACATTTGTAGGTTTCTACAACAGGCAGTTGCTGTTCATTTGAAACTTAGATTCATTACGACTTTTTTGTCTACAAAGATTTGTAATGTTTACCAAAAGCTTGCCTAATTTTGTGAAGCTACATTAAGTGCTTTCAGATTTCCAGTATGCATACCTTCATGGTGGTTATGAACAAGTTGTGAAAGGGTTAAACCATATCATACGTACCAATATGTCACACTTCTTCAACTAAACACTTGCTGTTTCTTTCTTTTTTGTTATTTTAAGAAAGGATGTTTTCAGCATCAAAACAATATGTTTAGTTAATTACACACCAAAACGGTTAATACCTCATCCATTGTATATCATCCAAGTGGCTCTTTTTCATGAAATTGCATGAAAAGATAGTTATGATATAGAAAGTTGTGATAGTTATATCTATATAATATAACTATGGTGTAGTATAGTATAACTATATATGATAGTTATATAGATATAGATAGTTATAGATATAGAAAATATATAGATATGATAAGATATAGTTACATCTGTTTTTCTTTTGCTATTAATTGCAAATAATTTAAGTGTGACAGCAGTGATAAATATATAAATGGTTAATATGGAACATTAGCACTAAATAGAGAAAACACCACACAACACAGATTTTTGCATATGGTTGTACTTTTAGTTAGTGCATAGAGGGACTTTGCCAAACTTACACACTTAAAAGTTCACAACACAGCTTTAACTCTTTCAATCCGGGCTTGGTTTTAGTGGACTAGTATAATGTAAAATACAGTCACATTTCAATTATTATACATTATATATGTATATAGATTATAGCTATTTTGAAATAAGTTCCTAGTTATTTTCCCTAAAACATAGAACAGTAAATAAAAAAGTAAAGCAAACAATTATCTCTTCTAGTTATGACCTTTGTACTCGATTGCTGCTTCATGTAGGATGCTAAGCCTTTCAAAAATTTGCGTGTGGAGGACATGAAATAAAATATTTTTTTAAGGTTTTATATGTACTTTTGAATAACTAAAAAATCATAAATAACAGCATCAATACCACAGAATTCTACTATAATTTATCAAACATAGTAACTAAGCTGTATTTGGGTCTAAAACAATATGAAATTTCGAGCAACCTAAAGATACAACCTACCTCATCGAAATCTTAATTTAAATGAAAGAAATGATGCTAGGTACATTAGAAAGGCTTAGAAAACCACTAGGGGGACATTCTGAGCTTCTGATTTGTTATTCATGTCATATATATAAAAGTAAGTGTTTATATAGGAGTGTTTCCAAAAATGGAAGGAGGTGAGCAGGGTGCCATTATGTTTCATTTATTATGTGAGCAATATCTTAGCCAATAGAAAGGCCTTCTTATTTTATATTCTAACTTGTCAATATCTGTAATTTGAGTTTCTAATTTGTATGAAACTATAGACTTAGTATTTTGACTTCACAAACATCTAATTTTAACCAATGCTGCATTCAACATACCACATGACACACAAAAATCGATGTTTATCTGTTTTTTTAATATTTACTTTTAAATTAACAAATTAAGCAATGTATGGTTCTAAAATTTGAATTATAATCTACAGTTTGATACCAAACTTATTGACATAAATTGATGAAATAGTAGTTCAATAAAATTTTGAATGTGAGTCAAAAAACGAGATGACGCAGCCTTTCACTTGTGACTCATATAGAAAGGGTTAATGGGAATGTTATAGGAAGCCTACTTATCAAATGTTTTTGGATGCCTCAAATTATCAGGATATATTAAACCTACCTCAAAAACATGTTCTTTTTTGAAGTCTTCTTCATCTTTGTCCAACAGTTTGAAAGCTTCATCTTCAATAAGACAGTGGTAATTAAATTTAAAAAAATTACCTATATTTTTTTATTTATGTACTCTTAACTACAAAACTATTGCTACTACTGTGGTTTTATTTATCATATAAATAAATAAAAATTTGGTTAAAAAGTTCATTAACAAATTCTTAATCATCTTCTAATTAGTATTTAAGGAAAAATGGATAGAGAGAGAATATTTTTAAACAGCTTAATTTGATAAATTAAGAAAAAATATTGCAACACATATTTTACTCCATAACTGGAGATTACTATTTTTTAAAAGACAGAAAAATGAGATTGATTATATAACTGATCTTTATCACAAAAAAAACTAATTATAATCAACAACCTGAATGTTGAAAAACTTGGCACGTAAAAGAAGTTATTACAACAAAAACTCAATTATGTAGCCTAAGCACACTATATTTACAGTAACTAATGTCAGTTAACACTGAAAAACATTACTGCTAGTTACTTTATTTTTCAAGATGAAGACAAACAATGCCAGATGAGTTATATATTTAGTATTAAGACAATTTTAAGAAATTTTTTACATCATATACAGAAAATATTTTAACAAAAACAAAATAACCTTTTGCCCTTTGCTTATGTAACTAAAGAAAACACATTGGAGTATAATGCATAAACCCATCACTACATAGTTGAATATACATATCAAAAGCATTTAAAAAAAAAAAAAAAAAGAGAGAGAGAGAGAGAGAGAGAGAGAGAGAGAGAGA